TAAAAACAGACAATGAAACCTACCCTGTGGGTAACACGGGAGTGTGCTCCAGCACCCAGCAGCCGGGCAGCCAACACGTGCAATAGTCCTGCATAAAATAGGATACACTGATGAGAGGTATTGTCCATGAGACAACACAGAAAATAATACCATTATACCAACATATATACATACTTGAAACTACCACTATGGAGTTACAAACAAGATACAGAATTGATGAAATAGATCAGTCTTACATCATATACAGCATTTGTAAAACAAGAACTACAAGCCAACATAAACCAACCATACGTACATTCATACAGGTAAAATTGCATACTGTGTAAATATTTACATTTGATTTATCTTGAACATATTTGTGCCTATGTTATACAATTATTTATATTAGGGTTTAATTAGCTATGTATATATTACAAACAGTATAATTACTAACCTTAGATCAAAACTCAATCTTCAAAACAGTCCTCATGTAGAGACAGTGTGGTGCAAAACTGATTAGTAACATGGCGGTGAGAAGTATATTTGAAATTAAACCAATCAACTGAGAAGCTGAGCCTGGGCTATTGTTAAAACAACTAAAGACAATGACATAAAAGTAGATCGACCCAGATACCCTTAAATACACAATGAACCAGCCCTGTAACACTGAACTGAACAGTTAAGGCCAAGACAAGATGCAACTGGATTGACAACATATAACATATATATAATGTATAGAGAAGTCGTCTGTCGGATCACCTGAAATAAGAATAAATATGAAAATGATTAATTATAAATGTATGTACACAATATACAATCCCTGGATTTATCCCTGTTACACACTTTCCCCCTGCAACAAAATGGTGTCCACATCATTTGATGCTTCCGCTGATAAGGTTGAGAAGTGTGTTACGAGCACTGACATCATCCAGCACACCGGTTCCAATCAGAGATACAAGGTACTCTGCTCGTCTCCTCTAGTCTGTATCCGTGGTAACTGACATGACATAATCTGATGTCACAGAGAACCAGGTAATATTTATATGAATAAGGTGAACAAAACTGCCCACAGTTTGGAAATATACAGAGCTAAGTTTAATAATTAAGTTTTGAAATACTAGAATTTATATAGGATCTCCATTTTAGGGACCGCCATGCAGTCATGGGCAAACTGTACACGAGGTACTGGACCACTTGTGTATCGTGACAGCTTGCACATAATTATATTAGTGTCCTATGTCCAAGGCGCCATTTGATGACAGTAGAATTTGGCAGATGCATAGGCAAGCTAAAAATGAACTCAGTGAACAAAATGCCACCTTGCAAATGTCTTTGATGCTGGCAGAAGATGGAATATATATCGGGCATTTTGATTAGTCACCCAGCAACATGCAGGTGAGGTTCTTGAGAGGCACTTAGAAGTTGGTGTAAAACGCAAATATTATGGATGACAACGTCTTCTTTATTGTATATCACAACGTTTCTGGGCTATTCCTTGCCCCTTCGTCAAGTGACGTTCACGGACAGACTCTGCTGAATACATAGTCCCCCGTTCCGCGTTGCGGTGGGGGACAAAAACAATCCACGGGATAACAGCTTACTGAGGACCAATCATAGTTAATGGCTGGTGTGTGAGTGTGAGTGTGTGTGTGTGTGAGAGAGAGAGAGATATGATTTTTATGGAGAAGCATGTACAATGTGAATGACTCCCCCCCCCCACACACACCTAAAATTTATGTACAAAGTAAGTGACCCCCACTGCATGTCATATACAAAATGACCCCCACCCCTCCTTTCCATAATTTCTAAGAGCATTTTTTAAAATATTCTTATGTACAAAACGTTTGAACACCCCACCCCCACCCCTAGATCATGTGTACAAAACTGATGACCTCCCTCTCCAGAACAAAATGTGTGTCCCCCTCTTAAAATCATCAAAACTCAATTCCTGTGAAGCCATTTACGTACAAGTACGCTTGAAATTTTGTAAATACTCAATAAATGTGTTCTTACATGCGTACACACAAATATAGATAAAATGACTGATGCATATCGAGAGGTTCTATTTCAGCATCTGAACTTGGCAACTTGCAGTCTTTCTTGTCGTTTCTCATATGGGAATTGGCAAAATACCCAATTGTGTTGAGTGAGGCGGATACAATATATTTGGTGACTCATAGGACAATTAGGATACCCAATTGAGATGAACACAGACGGGTACTTAACTCAATGACCTGTAGCTCTGCTAGTTTAATATGAACTCTTTTGTTAACTTGACCTAAATATGTTGTGAAATCCATATCAAGTAAGATAGGCATTGGCGTCTTTACCAGCACCATGGAATAGTCCATCCAGTCGACCTCGTGTCACAGCAGGAACATATATCCTCAACAACAGTGACATCATTTCGTGGACTGAATGTCAAACTTCCGAGACAGCCAATCAGAAGCGTTGTTGTGGATCGGAGGCAATAATATCGTAAACGGTGATGTCAGCGATGCCAAGCACTCGGAGAAATACGTAAATTAAACAGCGATGGGGAAATGTGTGGAAACCAGGGAAGGCTACTCTCAAATCAAATCTGTCGCTTTCAGTGTAAATATCATTGGACAACACACTACGACGTACAATTAGGAAACATCAAACGACCCTTCTTCAGTGATGGTATAACTGACTGACTGAGTTTGGTTTTACGCCGCTTTTAGCAATATTCCATCAACATCACGGCGGGGGACACCAGAAATGGGCTTCACACATTGTACCCATGTGGGGATTCGAAAGTGATGCTATAAATGTGACGGACATTAGAAAAACTCATTGACATCATGATTTTGGAAGCCAACGAAAGAAAATTAATCTAAAATAATTTGAACTGAAGGTTGTGTGTACGTGAGATCGGTGACGCATCCCAACCTTGCGTAACCACTTTCTTACATTTCAATATTGATGAGTTCGGAGACCGAACCACAAAACAACCAACAGTGTGTAATTAAACCACGATAAAAAATTAAAAAAGTATCGATGTCACCATGGGATATTTTCTCACCAACTTCGTGGCACCGTAATGACGTGGCCAGAAACTCGCACAGTGATATAAAAAACCTGTTCAGGGAAACTTTATGACCAATTTAAGTATATATATCTGGAAAAACTCTAAGCACCACTGACAGAGCTATGTTCACGGTCAGCTTGCGTATGATAGATAATACGTATCATAATAATGTTCATTTAATAAATTATTGCATATGCACAACCTGTGGCACCCGTGATGATCCGGGTTAGAATACTGATCTTCAGTAACCCATGCTTGTCGTAAGAGGCGACTAACGGGATCGGGTGGTCAGGCTCACTGACTTGGTTGACACACTGCGTAGATCAATGCTCATGCTGTTGATCACTGGATTGTCTGGTCCCGACTCCATTATTTACAGACCGCCGCCATATAGCTAGAATATTGCTGAGTGTGGCGTAAAGCTTAACTCACTCACTCACAACCTGCGAAACATGTCCAGAAGCAAACCCATGAATACTAACCGGAGTGCATTTTGTGCACGTGGGTATTTAATCTGCATGGGCTACAATATTTACCCTTCTTTCTGCCTCTATGGTACGAAGATTATCAGATGGCCACAGATGGCAAATTACTGGTATGCATAACACCGGTATGTCCTTTAAAGCAATTAGTCAGCCACTATACATTTAATTGCGAACTAGTGGTTTGGTCAGACAATACAGCGAAACCAATAAGGAGAAGGATCGCCAACGTTCTGGACGGCCCAAGATGACGTCAGATCGTGAACCTAGGACACTATTGAGTCTCACTGGACGACAACTTCTTTTCTGAAGCACCACTGGTTCCCATTTCTATATTAAAAAGTCTGGAATCGCCTAAGGAGATAGCACAACAGCAGAGCCGGGTACAACTCTAGAATGGTCAAAACATCCTCTACTGAACGATCATCACCTACAAGCACGTTTGGCTTGGTAGTTACCATGGCAACGCTGGAATCTGAGGACTTGGTGAAGAATGCATTGGCCTGATGGAAGCTGATTCCTTCTTCCTGTCACTGATAGATGCTTGAGAGTTTGGAGGCAGCGAAATACAGCATTTGCAGCAAAAAAACCCATCCATTCAACTAACTGTTGCCTTTGGTGGAGATTCCGTCATGGTGTGGGTGTGTGTCTCTCTTGACTGTAAACTTGACTTGGTGACAATACGCGGGAATTAGACAGTGAATCAGTATATCCAGGAAGTGCTGGATCCAGTTACCATCCTCTTGCTACAAGACCTGTATCTATGGCTGACAAGTCTGGGCCACGCCGGTCTGGGGTAGCGGCAGCTAATTTGCACCAAGAATGGCCACAACTCCTCTGCAACGGATACGACGACTGACTGGGATTATGCGACGTACAACAGTTATCCAAGCACGTGGAGGGTACACTTGACCTTGATTGTACAACGTTCCCAGGTTACAAATAAGCGATTTTGTCTCATCACAAACGCGCCATATCACCTGATCTAGCTCCAGGTGTAACTTTGAGCCAAAACATATGATTTGTGTATTGTGCCATTTCCATTATTTAAAAGGTTGATGGAAACTGTCCCTTTAGTGTTTTCTTCTAGTCAAAAACACGATCTTACGGGAAAATAGTGCAGCTTTACCAACATACTGTGCGTGCACACCACTGTTAGCCGAAACATACAACTTTGTAAAAGTTACAGGAGGTGCTTAAATCTTTTCAAGATTTATATAATTATGTGGGATCATATTTGAGTATAAAATTATTACTTGTTGACTTGTTGGAATTTATGTCGAATCCCAATTGCGTAGATCGATAATCATAGTGTCAATCAGGCCCAGGCCCTAACAATATTATTTACAGACTGTATTAATATATAGCTTGAATATTGCTGGTATATGGCGTCAAACATCAAACAAACACAATCACACAGATCAACAGTTAGGCATAAACACCCAGAACAACTTGCGCAGGTAACATCAGTCTTAAACGACACCAACTGAGATAAGAAAAGAAAAAAATATACTTTATTGTCCCAAAATAAATGTGTCTTTCATCATAAAGAGTTTCAAACATATAAAACATGGAATACAGACATCACTAAAACACATATAAAGAAATAACAGAACAAATCACAGTTACGTCGTAAGTAAACATAGCACTCTACTAAGAGAAACTATGTGTAAGAAAAAATGTACATATTTGTATATATATCAACAATAAATTCACTAAGTGAACATTAAGAACTTTTAAAGTGTACATTTAAGTATGACATTGATTTAGAGCAGAGATGTTGGCTGGTGCAGATGACCAGAAGGTAACAACTTATATTCACAGGAAAGGACATATTCTGAGAGTGGGCATGTACTATTTTACGGCCTTTTTAGAAATTTATTGCTCGAATAAGCTGTCAATACTTGTGATGCCAATGATTTAACATGTTGTGTTTACGCATGGTATGGCCCCATACCATGTGCAAAAGTTAAAATACTTGTGAGCAATGTATTGTAAAAACACACATATGATGGTTCGAGATAGGCAGGAAATATATCATGACTATTGTAGTTTACTTGATTATTTTCTGAAGTATACAATCAGATCTGGAAGGTCAAGCAACAGTAAGAACAAGAAACAGAACGCTTCTACTCAGCAAACATCCCCATAACTTATCCACTATTCTGCACAGTGTCACATGAATACCTGGCTGAGCAGCCGTCCAAAACTACAGCTCCTGGGGTCGTTGTCAGCACGGTATACCCCAGGTACACACAAACGTACCCTAGATAAAATCAGAATACAGAAACGTACCCTAGGAAGAAACCATTCCACACTGTGCCGTTTTCTTCCTCAGAACTGTCATAATGTTGTATTAGATGCATTTATAAAAGAAACAGGCATACACAATAATGAATATTTAGCAATGTACAACATCACTCGCTATCAGTTGAACGGAAACAACTACAAAATGGAAAGAACTAACTAACTTGATCAGGCATTGCTGGTGGGTATAGACTTGTTTTGAGCTGTGCATGTGTGTAATGTCTTAATGCTATAATACCAAACTTACAGTAAAACATTGTTCTGCATTTTTGTCCAAGGGTGGATCTAAAACCTTTTTGTATTAAGTATGTTATGATTGTTGACAACTTTTCAAGATAATGAAAACATGTTTGTGAATTCAAATTTGTGCAACTCTGTTATCACTCCACCTTTTGGATGGGTGTACATTCAAACTTCATTGAGTTCTTAAAAAATGCCCCCTAAAAGCTGCCATCAAACCAAGACACTAATGTGAAGGTTTAGAGTCAATTTAACATTTTGTCCTACCAGGTACCCGTCAACTGCTGGGTTTCAGTGTCCACGGCAGGACCAAGCACTCATGATACAAGCTGCTGGACATGATAAAAAAAATAGATTTAGTGCCATCAAGAAGAAATAAAAAATATTTTATCAAAGCAAAGAAATGTAAATATTACAACAAAAGTTATATATAAAACCTGGCTCACAAAACCAAGGCCAACAATCAGATATCTCATTCACCACGTTACTCAGTCAGGGCTCCTGATGAAACACCTGAGAGAATCATTTCATTCTTAATGTGCAATAATACAACAATTTTCACACATATGTGACTTTAGTTGGGGAACTGAATGTAAGATATTTACAGATATTCTATTCAAATAAACAAAACTTCATGGTATATAGTATAAAAATATTTATAAAATGGAATGTATAATCAAACGAAATTTATCACAGATATGATATGTATGACATTAAACATGGGAAATTCTATAATACATGAACCCTCTTACATGAAATATGTATTTGGTCACATCAAAATTCTAAAATATTTCATAAAGTAAGCATGATAAGGCATCTGATTTCAAAGCATGTTGTTAAGTCTTCTCTCCTGGTAACCATGGGAACATTCAAGGCCTCACAACAGCTTACAAAATATTTTATGGATTTTGATAACTGGAGGACATTTGCAAATTTTATTTATTGAACCAGATGTTCCTGTGGACAATTGCCCTGCCTCTGCATGTATCTGTGATGTGTGACAGGATGTGAGGCAGGATATGCTTAGATATTTTGCAAACACCTTTATCATCACTATTTGATGTTTAAACACAACCTCATGGCTCAGTTGATGTCATACAATTGACTCTGCTCATGGTCAAGATTTCTTGTTGCTATCGAAAGGGTTTTTCCCTTTCAAACCAGACTGTCACTGCAATCTCCAGAGTAAAGCTTGTCTTGTTTCACAGATTTAAAGCTGTTTTTTACTTATTTCATGGTCAAATATGCAAAGCTTTACCAGGGTCTTACACTTGCAAGGTATTTCATGGTGACCAGATATCTAAAATGTTATGCCTTGAGTAACATGTTTGCAGCCTGTACTAAAACATTTGATAATGCTAGTGAAGACCTGGCATTTACCTTAATTTCCAGTCATTTTAGTTTTAATCTATTTTGTACTAGAAACATTTTTTGAATGGATGAAGCCTTTTCATTTCAGTAACTTGAAATGTGATTGGCTCAAGAACTCATCTATTGGTCAGGTCAAGTATCATTTAATGTGATGTGATCTTCTAATGTAAGGGGTTGTCAATCATGCTGAGGTAAAGATCAAATTCTAATGAGATTGGTCTGATCTTCTAATGTAATTAATATAATGTCAATTATCAAGTACAAGATTTTCTGATGGTGACATATTTTGAATTGTAATGGCATGTATAATATTAATGTCAAAGTCACAAAATGCCATAGGCAATAAAATGTAAAGGGTAGTGTCTTAATGTCACAATTTAATGTCATATGAATGTGTAAAGAATAGCAACATATAATGTCATGTGAGATGTAATCCGTATTGCTGTGTTGTAACAAAATTACACAAGTGACATTATGTCAAATCTATACTCCTGGTCCTAGATTTTCGAAGCTCTCTTACCACTAAGATAGTCGTAGGTTAATGTTAATGAATGGCACTTACGACTATCTTAGAGCTAAGAGAACTTTGAAAATCTAGGCCCTGCAGTCTTCTCATCAATTGTACTCTCAACATGATCAACCAGAGCTCATTAAGAATTAGTGTTTTTGTCTTTTCTATTTATGTTCTTCCCCAAACCCAAAACCTCTGAGATTGGGCATTTTACTGAGAAATACATGCCCTGCAAACATCTACCCATACACGTATAATATCACAGAGCTTGCTTGAGTATTATGTTTGTGACTTCCATGGTTGTTCCGATCCTCATAGGGATGCCAAAATACTGCGTACCCATCGACACATAGACATGACTGGATTCACCATAGCGATACAGTCCGGAAAAGAAGGGGTGCATAAAATAAGATCCAAACATCACTGGGAAGAACTGTCCTCCATGAGTGTGACCTGTAATAGATAAAAGAGAGTCAATAACTGAGGCATATGTCGCTAGTGTCGTTGTTGGATCGAAGTTGAAGGGACTCATTTAAATAATTTCAATTATGAGTTCAGGTTCAGGTTCAGCGGAGCCACAGACAACTTTTGGGGTCATTGAGTTATGTACTCGCTTGTGTTCATCTCAATTGGGTATCCTAATTTTCCTTTGAGTAACCAAATAAATTGTACCCACCCCACTCAAACTCAATTGGGTATTTTGCCATTTTCATTAATTGTAAAAATATAATAAAGTTTAAATGTTGGTGTACTTGTTTGTTATTTGTATTTGATCTGTAATATGAGAAACAATAAGAAAGACTGCAAGTTGCAAAGTTCATGTGAGGAATTAGAATCTCTCAATATACCTCAGTTATTTGATCATGTCCTCGGTAATCTCTATCACATTTTTGTGTGTACGCATGTAAGATCAAATTTATTGAGTACTTACACAAGTTCCACTGTACTTGTATGCAATAGACTTAATAGGAATTGAGTTTTCACATAAATATAAAATTACGCACATACGCAGCTTATCTGTACCTCTGAGTTTGACACAAAGTGATGCATATACCACATTGACCCTTTCTGGTATCTACTTACCACCAGACAGAATATGTTGTCAGTCGACAGTGCAAGAAACACATTGTTTTCTCTGAGATAAGGAGTCAAGTACATTTTGGTCATACCACCCAGCATGTCCAGTGAACAATTTTATTTAAATCCTCAGAAAGCCCAGACAAATACATAAGCAGAACTTTATAACGTGTGTAACACATTGACCCTTTCTCGTATCAACTCACCATATTGTTGACACTTTAGTTTACAGGACAGCATATTTCTTAAGTCAGAAACAAATTTCTTTCTCTGACAGGAGGTGTCAAGTACCTTATTGGTCATACCACCCAGCATGTCCAATGAACAGTTATACTGAAATCCTAAGCCATCCCAGACAATCAAATGCTTTAGAGAAAGTACTCTGAATAATGGCTACCTGACAGGACAACATCAACTCTGTATTTGGAGTCCAAAGCAGTCTTGGCTGCCTTCGGCTGATGGGCAAGCAGAATTACTGGCTGACTTGGATCACATGACCCCAGAGCATCATCCAGCTTCATCCCATGATCACCATACCTGAATGTTTAAACCAAAGACTTTAAATGTTACCTGCACAATATATTTCACTTAATTTTAGCACATATTGTTTCAGCAAGACATGGCTTTTTTTAGAGACTTATGACTTCCGTGATTTTTCTAATGTTGCTGACAACAGAACTTGCTGTCAGAACATTTTCTTCATACAAGGTTTGTAAGAAAGTTTTCTCTATTTAGACATTTAATGTTGTCATGGAAAATCTTGTCCAGTGTTTTTAACAATGCTTTAAGAGAGATACAATGAGTGAGTGAGTTTAGTTTTACGCAACACTCAGCAATATTCCAGCTACATGACAGCAGCAAATCCAGTGATCAACAGCATGAGCATCGATCTAGGCAATTGGGATAGGATGACATGTGTCAACTAAGTCAGCGAGCCTGACCATCTGATCCTGTACTCTTACGACAAGCATGGGTTACTGAAGATCAATTCTAACCCTGATCTTCATGGGTATTAAGATACAACATTCAGACAGGTTATACAATGAAACATGTATTCCTTATACAATCTTGTAGTTACCATGATTTATTGGTACCAGGACAAAGTGCTCATGGCAGGCAAACATATTTCAAATTGTTTTGTCTTTGTATATCTATCTTTCTTTGTTAAATTCAGAGGTTTTCAACATTGCATTCAATGTATGACTAAGAATTATGTCTTCCTTTCTATTCTTGAAACAATAACTTGAAAAATATGAACTTGGAATTTTATTGTTCCAATTTGGGAATTTTAGTTGCAGACTTGGTGCTGGATATAAGCCACTGAGCAAATCTTAATGGTTCCCTGTCTTATGATTAGCATGGGTAACCATGGCAACTGGAAATGTATTCTGCAAGGTAAGTCATGGATTAAGGACAATACCTTTTGTCCCTTACCCTATCTTTAAAGCATGGATATCGTCTGTCCCAGCAAGGCAAATTTGTTGGTTGGTGGGTAGTTTCTCACTGGGAAGTCGGACATTACTGTTGTGTAATACAATAAAGCCGAGACCACGGAGGTGAGAGAACCAATTGTCTACATCACCTGTATAGTACTCATGATTGCCTGAAACAGAAAAAAACAACACATTGGAAAACAAACAAACATAGCTTCTTGTTTGGTGCCCACTTCTTTTGCGTCAACCATTCAACCTTGGCCATAAACATCATTTTCTGTAGATTTTTATGTTACCATGGTTACAGCTAGACTCTTACTACCAATCATTGAAAAAAACAACACTTCACTTGCCTCAGGCTTTCAGACTAATAAATATTTTCTGCTTATGACACGGTTCCTGGTGACCTGACAAAATGGGTAATTTTAATGCATGATAATCTGAATGAATCTATAATTATTGTCAGTGAGAGATGAGTTAATGTAGCATTCAGTGGCTTTAGCCACTAGTTCAAACCCAGTCAAGTAAACATATTTCTGGTCTTGAAAGATTAGCTTATTTTAGTTTATGTACTTAGCCTGAGTACTAAGCTGAAATATATTGATGCTGTAGACTCACTAGTAATTGGCACAGAGTGTGTTAGAGTCAGAAATTAAAACTAGGCATGCAAAGAGGGGTCCTAGCGATTTGCTGCTATAGTTTTACAAATATGGCCACAATCAGCTATATTCCAGCTATGTGACAGAGGTCTGCAGGGATTGGGATAGAGAACTTTGACAATGGGCCATTTTCAGGATTATTAGCCATTTTCTTAATTTAGAATTGGCCACTGCCCTTGTATCAATAGTAAACTTAAAAATTTTAATGGGCCATTTTTCATTCTAATGTGAATGGCCCATGGCCCCTGCCTTTCCCAAACCCTGGGTCTGTAAGGAGTAGAGTCTGGTCTGGACAATCTGGTGATTGACATCATGAGCATCAACCTTACACAATGGGACATGATGACACGGACCTACCATGTCAGTGAGTCAGTCCATCTGATGCCATTAGTTGTCTCTTATGACAAGCATGGGTTGCTGACTGATACCTGAACATGTTAACCACCAGACTACCCACAATCTAAACTGTCCAAAATATGTATGCATGGTAATTATGGAATGTCACAAACATAGAAACTGTACCTGTTATATAATATTTCCCAAACTTTGATTGAATATCCTTAACAGGTTCCACTGCTTCCCTGAGGCTTGCAACACTTCCATCGACGAGATCTCCAGTCATCACAACAACATCTGCAAGGATATGAAACTGAGCCAGTAATACAAACTCAAATGTTTCCATGAACATGCTGAATCACCAGTGGATGCAGTCAAACATTTCTGAAAAATACAAAATCATTTCAACATGACATCATTTGATATCCCAAGATTACACTAGACAAAGCTGGATTCACTCAGCTCTCATCTATTCAAAAGCAAAATTTGTGTGATATATGCTTGGAGGAGAGAAATGCCAAATGTCCTAATTCTCTCTACATAAACATGATAAACATATGAACATGTCTGGAATTTGAAGGTTCACAAATGTAAAGCAAAATGATTTAAGACTCAGAGGGACATGGGACATCTTATAATCAATCAGATAGATTTGTATGCTCCAGTACATGCAAGTAAATGAACTTTTCATTCATAAAATTTTTCACACAAAACATACTTGTAACACATGTCCTTCTGAAGAAATAGTCTTGAAATAGAAGTTGTGGTCATGGTATTCTGAATGTGCTTTTCTGATGTTCCCCACTATAATATTGCTAGAATTTTGCTGAAGCATAAATTCTTACTCACTCAAATTGTCACAAAATAGGTGCTCTCATTTATTGATGCATTTATTTAGACTCAGATACTCTAAACTCTATCGACCATGGAACATCTTTTGCAACAAAGGAGTCTGGTTTGTCAATGTTTATAGGCAGCAGTTTGTAATGAAAATGGCGGGGCAGAGTTATTCATTCCGTCCAACAGGGTTGCACCCCTTTCTCAAGTAGTTTAACTATAAGAGCTGATCAATTAGTGATATCGCCATGATATTGCTGGAATATTGCTGTTTCATATTTACCTGCATCCTGTTCATTAATGATATTTACTATCCGAGTAAGTCTCCATCTTCCAACAGTTGATCCTAAATGAATGTCGGATATTTGCACAATTTTCAATCCATCAAGAGATGCAGGCAATCCTTTGACTGGAATGGGGACTTCTTTCACAACAGGAGGAGTAGTAGCGTTGTAAAGACCATACGTCCATAAAAGAATAGCATAAATAAGTACAAGCTGCAATTCCCTTTGCTTTGAAAAGACGGGTTTACTTTTAAATATGTTTCTCAAACAAAACAGAACAACCTTCACAAACACTAAACCTGTCACAATCTGAAACAATAGCCCCAGTGCGGCATTACAACTGTATGCTATAACATATGGTTCTCGACCTATGAAATAAAAGTTCATAAAGTAACTGATATGGCATGATACTAAATAAGTTATAAGAAAAATCCTCCATATTGTCCAATTTTTGCGATCAGGTTCAATCACGTCCTTTTGATGAAGATCTTTATCAGAGTATTTGACATGTCTTAGTCCTTCATTCCGTGACGACTTATCGAACATAGTCGAGAAGTTGTTCCACACAAATCTGGAGAGAAGAATCAAGACTACTTGTACAAAAATGAGGAACTGCAAGAACAACAGTCTTGCCTTTCTTTCCCAATGGAGAGACAAGACATACATCTCGCCCAGAATGACGGCAAGCAGAACCGTCACGGCGGCGGCAACCTTCATACCGAAAGAGATCGCCATGTTGTTGTGGGGAGACGGTGATTTCGTAGACAGAACCAGTTCGTAGACGCGGTGAATTCGTAACCCAGACCGGTTCGTAGAATAAAAGTATATATTAAGGGTAAGTTTGATTTTTACTTAGAATGTTTATAACGTAGTTGTTGTCGTTGTTGTGGGTCCACACATCCAGTCAAGCTGGGTCCCGTCTAGCATATCGCAAGTTAACGCGCGCAAAGGTAGCCGAGAACCAGGTTGGCCAATTTGTTTATATGATGTCCCTTGTGGAATACCAAAATACATATGATGTTTCTTTTGTAATATTTTCGTGTCTATCAATAGTAAAATTAGAAAGGCGAAGGAAAATATTTAACGTCATATACAAGGCATGCATTAATGTCAGACTGACCAAATGTGTCCAACTTTGTTGTAAGGGATGTCAATTAAAGGGAGATAACACAGGCCAACGTTGTGGCCAATAGCTGAAAAATGTGTTGATAATTCTACAATGTAAGTTCGAAGCCCATGTTTCCAAAATGGCCAGAATTCTTTGGTTGTTGTAGACGTATTTGTTATGGCAATTTTTAACATTACTGACAACGTTTGTCTTGGTTGGTGATTACATTTCCAAAATAATTTATCAAACCAGTTGCAATTATTCATGATTGTGATGGTCATTTCAGTGAATGTTCCTTTATGCTTTATCATCAATCTGTGGTAAAAAGCTGTTGGTGCAGAATATGATCCTTGGTATCCAGAGCATTATATCTCCAGTATATCATGATAAGAGTAAGAGTGGAACACTAACACTTCTCTGTGCAGATGTAATGCAGGCATTGTATGTAGGTTTCAAAAACTTTTGTATGCCTACACATCAGTTGTATGGTGTGCAAGTTTCAATATGCATGTATGAAATATGTATGGCATTGTTTGTAGATTTATTATTGCTTCGATCCCCTGACAAGTGTCTTGGAAAGTTTGGCATTCAGTGCTGTCTGGTCCATGAAATGTTGACACTGTTGCTGAGGATATACGCTCATGCTGTGACACGGGGGTTGACTGGATGTACATTCCATGATGCTGGTAAAGACACCAATGCCTATCTTACCTCAAGACATATTCAGGTTATGTTAACAATATAATATGCATACTAAACTAGGTTTGAAAATTGTAATATTCAGTGAAAAATGGATGTAATTAATGACTGAACTAAAAGTACATAGCCATGTTGTTTTGTCCATGTGAACCTGTAACGTGATACATAATTTCTTTCGTTTGAGGAACGAATAAGATTGAAATTATTTTCTCCTTGCGGAGGAAAGTACTACTTGTTGATGTAAGAATGTCCGCTAGATGGCTCTGTTATGGGTTTATAAGGAAAGGCGGGAGTTCGAAGAGCATTCTCAGTTGCGGTGCGCTCGAGTCTAGTATTAACCTATCAGTTATAACATGGATCAGAACAAACCTATCTCTAACAAGCTAGACGAGATTTGGTTGAAGTTGGACCAATCTAAAACAGAAATTGCTAATTTGGAAAATAGGATTGGAGAGTTTTGTGGCGAATTTCTAAAGACGTCTTAAGAACTCACGAAGTTGAAGGCAGCTAAGGACATAGTTTGGAAAAAAGAAGGTAATAAAATTCAACATAGTTTCAATTCTGAGACTTTGGATAGCTTGGAGCAGATTAAGTTTGCTCTTGAATACAGTAAGTTGAAATACGCATCAGATCTCGTAGATACAGAAGTACAACGTATTCAGCAGCGTAATAAATTGATAAGGATTGCCGACACTTCTGATGGTGGATGGGAAACTGTGAAAAATTATGTTTCCCGAGATCTTGCATCTGACTCCGACGACGACAAGCGAATTTCAAGGGCTGAGAGAAAAGCTGTTCGGAAATTCAAGGCAAGGAATGCGCGTTTCACACGGAGTCCCTACAGTAGGCCCCGAGGTGGTCGTGCAGCTTCTGCTACTGTTACTTCTGCTGAATCTGTACCTAGCGTCAATCAGCCCTTTCGGAGGAGTTCTTCCAGCGGGGCATGTTTCTCGTGTGGAAGCTTTGAACACTGGCGACGTCATTGTCCCTTTACAAGCGGACAGCAGCAATCATCCACAGCGGGGCGCACTTCAGGGAGTGGAGGACAATACTAGTGAGCACACCAAAGTTAAGTATGGTGTTTTTGATGAAGTAGGTCAGATCGCGCTGACTCATGATTATTTTGAATACGAGCAGGGCCATGCCGAAATCATAGTGAAGAATAGATTAAAGAAGAGTGTAAAATTTTGGAGAAATATAGGTTGCTCCAACTTTGTGCTTGACATTCTAGAAAATGGTTACAAGATTCCCTTTTATTCTACTCCACCTGATATGGATTTAAACAACAATAAGTCAGCAATAATGCATAAAGATTTTGTAGCGGGGGCTATAGCTGATTTGGTACGAAAAGGTTTGGTTGTTGAATGCTCTCAAAAACCTACAGTCGTAAACCCCCTCTCTGTTTCCGTTCAATCTTCAGGTTAAAAGAGATTGATCCTGGATCTCTCGGTGGTGAATACACATATATAGAAGGAATCGGTCAAATATGAAGACTGGAGGACAGCTTTGTTATATATACAGAAAAATGATTGGATTGTTAAATTCGATATTCATTCTGCCTGCCATCATTTAGATATACTTGAAGATCATACTCAGTTTTTGGGATTTGCGTGGAAGGAAGGTACGGTTAGAAAGTTTTATAAGTTTCTTGTACTACCTTTTGGGTTGTCCTCAGCACCATATGTATTTACAAAGGTAATTCGGCAGTTAGTAAAGCATTGGAGGAGTAAGGGTTATAACATCGTTACCTTCTTAGATGACGGCCTCCTTGCCTGTGACTCTAAGTACAATACCGCAGATGTTGCGAATATTGTAAAGCAGGATATCATTTCTTCGGGTTTCGTGCCTAAGGTAGAAAAATCACTGTGGGAGCCGTGCCAATGTTTAGAATGGTTGGGGCTTATCATTGATACACGTTCAATGGCTTTGTCTATATCACAGAGGAAAGTGGACAAACTTATGCAGTGTGTTGAAGGATTGTTGTCGGTTAACGGGACTGTACCAGTTAGAAAAGTTGCTTCTGTAGTGGGGAAGATAATAAGCATGAGTATTGTGCTCGGATCTGTTGCTCAGCTTATGACGAGGTCGTTGTCCATGCAAACTGTTGATATTGTATCATGGAATGACAGTGTACTTCTCTCTGAACTAAGCATCCAACAGCTTCAGTTTTGGTTAAGCAACATAAGCAACTATACTGAGAAGTGTTTGATAGAGCAGAATACTGTTACACGGATTGTATATAGTGATGCAAGTAATGTCGGGTATGGTGGATACTGTGTTCAATTTGGTGACGTTCAGTCACATGGTCAGTGGTCTCCTGATGAGGCTAAAGCGAGCTCTACCTATCGAGAGATAAAGGCTGTGTATATGGTTATGCAGAGTACTGTGTCCAAGTTGAAATCGCAGAGAGTCAAATGGTTTACCGACAACAAGAATGTTGACATTATTGTATCCAAAGGATCCATGAAGAAGCATTTGCAGAACATTGCTTTGAAGATATTCCACTTGTGTATTGAATGCCAGATTCACTTAGAAATGCAGTGGTTACCTCGCTCTGAGAACGAGAGAGCTGAT